ACGTTTTGCTTTAACACAGCAGGCCTTGGGGGGATGAGAACATCGCAGCTAAGCTATTTTTAAAAAAGAAAGAAAGAGAAACAAAAGTGATAACCTAATAGCATTGCTGCACATTGATCAGCAGTAGCTGGTGGAGCTGAACCGTGATATCATAATCCTGTTATCCAAGCATAGTGTGTTGAGTTTTTGCTGTTGCAAGGCAAGGAAATATACTGGAAAGCTGTAATTACAACAACAATTCTTGTTCCTCTGTCTATTGAGTTTATAAGCGAATGCAGTTATGGGACTGGTGTGGGTAACTGGAAGTTTGCAGAATCCCCTATTATGTTTTGCTTGATAGATCTGTAACTGAAAGAATAAGTGCCCTCTTTTACAAGTGGAGTGTGTAATATCGGAGGCGGAGATTTGCTCGGCATTTCACGGGACAAAAATAGAGTTGTTTATATGGTTAATTCAAATGGGCCCTTTTCACTGACATGCATAGGGTCACTTTCTTACATTTATATCCCATCTTTCCTCCAAGGAGCTCAAGGACATAGAATAGAATAGAATTGTAGAGTTGGAAGGGACCACAAAAATCATCTAGTCCAACACCTCTCAATATTTCATTCACTGTGGGGTTCAAACCCATGACCCTGGGATTAAGAGTCTAACGCTCTGTTGACTGACCTATTCCTCTTAAGACATGTCATGTGCTCCAGGTGTTTCTCACCCACTTTCCATTGTATCACAACAGCTGTCTTGATGGACTTTCAGTGGCCCAAGGTCACCCAATGAGCTTCATGGCTGAGTGGGGATTTGAATCTTGGTCTCACAGATCCTCAGCTGATACTTTAACCACTGTACCACGTTGCTTGAAGACATTCCAGGAGAACTTCACATTTCTATAACCTCTGCTGCAGTTTTTTTTTAAATAAATAAAAAATAAATATTGAAATGAATGTTACAATGAATTTACAAATGGCTCATCTTTAATAAATCTCTCCAGTCCTCCATTATTACGCCATCATCATAAATAGCCATAACTGTCTAAAGGTTGCACCAAGAGCATTTTTGTAATAATTCATTCTGAGTCATGGGCCTATTTATGGAAACATGTAGCAACCCCAAGCTTTTTGTCAGCAAGGTTAACAGTAGCCTTCATTCTCCATTCTTCTTTTGGTCCCACAGGTAAGACCTGAACCATCCTTCCCCAACCTGGTGCCCTCCAAATACTTTGGACTATAATTCCCATTATCCCCAGCTAGCATGGTCAATGGTCAGACATGATGGGGCCAATAATTTTAAATGTCTGGAGGGAACCAGTTTACATTCCCCAGCAATTTTCAGATCTGTCTGTCAGACCATTTCCCCATCTAACTCACCGAGGGCCCATCTTCATTATACATGTAAATATATATATTTTGAATCCCCGTGCAGGGTGAGCTCCCGTTGCTCTATCCCAGCTCCTGCCAACCTAGCAGTTCGAAAGCACACCAGTGCAAGTAGATAAATAGGTACCGTTGCAGCTGGAAGGTAACGGCGTTTCCGTGCACTCTGGTTTCTGTCACAATGTTCCTTTGCACCAGAAGCTGTTTAGTTATGCTGGCCACATGACCCAGAAAGCTGTCTGTGGACAAATGTCCTGAAAGTGAGATGAGCGCTGCAACCCCATAGTTACCTTTGACTGGACATAACTGTCCAGGGGTCCTTTACCTTTTTTTTTTTTTACCTTATATGTAAAGCTGCATCTTACCTCTTTAAACTGATACGGCTTCCCCAAAAAAACCCTGGGAACTGTAGTTTGGTACAAATCCTCAAAGTTGTTAGGAGACTCCTATTCCACTTACAGAACTCCAGTTTCCAGTGTGGTTTAACAATCAATCCATCTGCTTTGGGAACTGAGGGGTGTTCTGCTGCCTTCAGCAGGGAAAATCATTGTATTTTTCATTTCATTTTTATTTATTACTTTTATACAGTGGTACTTCGGGTTACATACGCTTCAGGTTACAGACGCTTCAGGTTACAGACTCCGCTAAGCCAGAAATAGTACCTCGGGTTAAGAACTTTGCTTCAGGATGAGAACAGAAATCGTGCTCCGGCGGTGCGGTGGCAGCAAGAGGCCCCATTAGCTAAAGTGGTACCTCAGGTTAAGAACAGTTTCAGGTTAAGAACAGACCTCCGGAACGAATTAAATACTTAACCCAAGGTACCACTGTATACCACCTTTATCTTCCAAATATCTCAAGGTGGTGTGTATGGCTTTTCTCCTTCTCATTTAATACTTACAACAACCCTGTGAGGTAGGTTAGGCTAAGAGGTGGTTACACTCTGGTGAAACCAGAGGAAAACATATTATAACAGGGAAAGTTGCATCCAAAGCTCCACCTACTTTTGCCTCTGGGTCTGCCCACCTCTGGCATCTTGTCATTGGTCCTCAAAAAAGGAATGTGCTTCTTGGCTGAGAAAACATCCTCCAATTCCTTCTTCATTTCCTGCTTCTGGACTTTCCAGATGTACCTTGCTGACTAGGGTTATTTTTTTATAACAAGCCATCTTTTCTATCCATAGAAACCCTGCATAGGAAGATACTGTGTGGTGTAGTGGTTAAGAGTGTGGACTCGTAATCTGGTGAACTGGGTTCGCTTCCCCGCTCCTCCACATGCAGCTGCTGGGTGACCTTGGGCTAGTCACACTTCTCTGAAGTCTCTCAGCCTCACTTACCTCACAGAGTGTTTGTTGTGGGGGAGGAAGGGAAAGGAGTATGTTAGCCGCTTTGAGACTCCTTAGGGTAGTGATGAAGCGGGATATCAAATCCAAACTCTTCTCTTCTTCTTCTACTGTCCTTTTGTGTTTGAGTTTCATATAGTGCTTTGCAACTAGGGAGACACCACATCTACCTGTTTCAAATTCACGGCACTGTGAAGAGCTCAACATCAAGCCTCCTCTCATATCTTTCCAAACCGACACAAATTGCTTGTGAGAGCCAAACTCAAAGCACTTACCATCAATCCTGGGTCATATCATTGTATCACTTGTACTTATCTTAGGGAAAGTGTCACCTTCAAACGCGGAAAGATTGGGAAGACCAATTACATTAAACATCAGGATCGTCCACCAAGTCTGAGAATGTAATACATTTTATAGACTACAAATGTCCTGAACACCACATAGAGCAGGTTGGGAAGATGACAACAGACCAATGTAATCATTTCAGAAATCACACGTCTACAATCACAATGAAGAAAGCTTGAGCCAATTGCAAGTCATTTTGATTTAGACGAACACAAAACGTGGAAATATTCCCAATAGAAAATAGATTCAATCCAGGGGTGTTAAAAGTAAATGAGTCTGTATCTGTATTGGATTTGAAATTGTTTGACATTGGTTTTTTACATATGAAAATATTCTAATTGTTTACATATGACAATAGTTTGTGTGTGAAGCTTTGTAACTGATTTATATTTCTGATGTTTTTGTTGTGATATCTCTTTGAGATGTTTTATGGAAAGTGATTCATAAATGGAAATAAATAAGAGAGAACTTTTGAATATCAAGAGTGAACATACCCTAATACCCCATGGACTCAACTTGGATTTAAACCCATAAACCTTTACCTATGCCTTTAAATCTTTGGAGAGCAGCTCCCACAAATCTGCCCACAACTTGGGTTTGTGGATGAAAAACTGATTACTTTTCCCTTATTGGATTATCCATGGAACAGGAAAATCATATTAAATTGGAAAACAGGGCAGGCTGGCCTTTGGATAAGACAAGATGCTATCCATGCATGCATGGTTTTCCTCAGATCCACATTAAATTGCCTTGTGTACAAGCTCTCAGTCTCTTTCCCAACCCATCACCCTTCAAATGTTTTGAACTACAACTCCCATGATTCCTGACTGCTGACCACGCTAGCTGGGGGTCAGTGGGAGTTGTGGTACAAAAACTCTGGAGGGCACAAGGTTGGGAGAGGCTGTGCTATAGCATCTTTCCTGTGTATTTGGGGTTCCTGAATCCTAAAGAAAGCTATAAAAGAAACTAGCAGTAGAATCTTCCTGGTGCTGTTCCCAAAAAATGACCTTGCAACTGTTCTCCATCAATTAATAAGGAAAAAAAATTGTATTTGAAAATTATCAAATAGAGGATTTAGGTGAAAGTTTCATGAGTGGTTTTGTTGCTGCTGCTGCTGCTGCTGCTGTGCTTACTTTGATTTTGAGACAAAATTAAAAAATTCCTTCCAGTTGCACCTTAGAGACCAACTGAGTTTGTTATTGGTATGAGCTTTCATGTGCATGCACACTTCTTCAGATCCAGGTTCTTGCATTTTAGTCAGAAAGATGTCAGTCGGTACCTGTGCAAGTTTCTTGGTGAGGTTGATGGACTTGCATTTCATGCAGGTCAATGTGGTGTAGTTCATAGTTCTAGTTACAGGTAGGTAGCCGTGTTGGTCTGCCATAGTCGAACCCAAATTAAAAAATTCCTTCCAGTAGCACCTTAGAGACCAGCTAAGTTTGTTATTGAGGAATTTCATCAATTGAGGAATTCAGATTCTGCAAATCTCTCTGGTAGGCTGCACTATGCATCTTTCTCAGGTGCTCATGCTTACAGGAAAGTTGTGAGAAAGCATGACAGGTGAGAAGGCTGCAGAACTCCAAGAGATGGTTATGCTATTCAATAGGGCACTCATTCCCACACATACCTCAGCCACCTTATAAGTAAGTTCAAGCTTTGCTACAATGAAAATATAAAATCATTTCTCAAGCATCCTGAGACGTTGGTGGGATGGGGGGGGGGGCGGAATCAGCTACTTTTGCAGAGGGCAAAGATTAACTATAATAAAAATATAATAATCTATTATTTATACCCTGCCCATCTGACTAGAAATTGGAGACAGCAGAATACAGCACAGGAAGGCAGGAAGCTGCCTTATACTGCCTCAGATTATAGGTCCATCTAGCTGAATATTGTCAACACTGGCTGGCAGCAGCTCTCCATCATTTCAGACTGGGAATCTTTCCCAGCCCCAGCAGGGATCGAACTTGGGACCTTCTGCATGCAAAGCAGATGCTGTACCGCTAAGCTACAGCCCTTCCCCAATCTCCCATAGTAAACAAATAAGCAGAACATCCCACTGGCGGGGATTTTATTTGAAGCCAGTGAAGCTAAAATGCCATATTGAGAGCATTTGCTGATTGCTTAACTCAGACACCATCCACGCTCCTACCAGAATGGGAAAGAGCACTGAGCATAAACATTGGCCAAGAATAGCAGAGTGATAGAGATTACTTCCTCTTTAAAGGATTCATCTGTCTCTATTAGGCAGTTCCAACCACAGTTTAAGCCATTAGGAAGAATGCACCCGGCAAATGAGCTGAAGGTTTCAGTCCAAAACTCAAATAGGCTGCAGAAGCTGCAGGCAGAAATACGCATCTCTTCCAGGACTCAGAGAAATGAGTGTTCTCTCCTAGTCAGTTCTATGCTGAGCAGACATAACAATATCAAGGATTTTCAGCTTTATTTGCAGCCGTGAAGTATGGTCAAGAGAGGTGGTGGCACCTTCTCCTCCTGCAAGAATGCTGTCCAGTGGCTGCAGTTTAACAGCACCTGAATTTTCAGAGCAGAAGCTCCCCTGTCGTAAGTGTTGGTCCCATGAGTGGCTCCGCAATAATCCAAACTAGTTGTGATGATAAATATAGAGCTCTTCATGGAGGAGAGGGCTTTTGATAGCTACTAGCCACAATGGCTTGACTCTTCTTCCATAGTTGGTCCTCCTTGTGGATTTCCCAAGGGCATCTGATCAGCCATGGTGAAAACAGGATGATGAACTAGATGAACTAGCAGGCTCTTCAGTTGTTCCTCCCTCACACTAGTTGCCTCACCTTGCCTCATGAGTGGGCCGGTCCTGGATGGGGTGGACCTCCTGGCCACACCTCCTGTGTCACATGAGTATCACCAGCCTCCTCCTCCTCCACATATTGGGGTTTGAAATACTTTAGTGGGGAGCCAGTTCTGATCATAAAGGCTCCTAGCACAATGCTGGTCTGGAAACCAAGCCTTATGAGGAATGGTTGAAGGAGCTGAGTATGTTTAGCCTGGAAAAGACGAGGCTAAGAGGAGATATGATAGCCACCTTAGAATATCTGAAGATGGAGCAAGCTTGTTTTTTCCTGCTCCGGAGGGTAGGACTCGAACCAATGGATTTAAGTTACAATAAAGGAGATTCCGACTAAACATCAGGAAGAACTTTCTGACAGTAAGAGTTGTTAGACAGTGGAGTGGATTCCCTTTGGAGATTGTGGACTCTCCTTCTTTGGGGGTTTTTAACCAGAGGTAAGATGGCCCACTGTCATGGATGCTATAGCATAAACAAATGTGGGGTGGGGAGGATGAGCATATCCATAGACCCATAGAATCGTGGAGTTGGAAGGGACCATGAAAGTCACCTAGTCCTGAAATGCAGGAATCTTTTTCCGAATATGGGGCTCAAACCCACAACCCTGAGATTGAGTCACATGCCATATCACATGCATAGTCACATGCATATCACATGCATAGTCACATGCTTTTGGATCTCAGCCCACACTGATATTTCTTTTTTTTCTTTGCTTTTTCAATTTTAAGTAGGTTGCTATGTTCTTTGGTGCTTATGCAAAAAAAGGGGGGGGGGTTGTCATTTTGCTTTAGGCCCTTTTCAGACCATTGTTTGATTGTTGCATAATTTTGTAGACACCAACTTTAAAGCAGTTAACTTTTTGTTTTTTAAACATTGTTTTCCCCCATCATCACCGCCCACCAGGTAATTGCAGAACACATATTTTTAGTTTATATGTGGTTTTTATGTGTGGTTTTTTACATTTTCTCACTATGTACTCTCTCACTTTTGTGGTGTGGGGAAACACTGCTTCCAAGATCTATAAACCGAAGATCTGCTTGGAAGCAATGCTTCTTCTCTTGGACTTTCAGCTTTGAACACCATAAACCTCAAGCCCTGCTGCCGCCACTACCAAATGGTAGTACGGGAATAAAAAATATAGCAACATAGGAAGCCACCTTATATCTTCACCAGTCTTTGTCCTCCGAATGTTTCGGACCACAGTTCCCAGCATCCCCATGATGCTGAAGCTGCTGGGAGTTGTAGTCTGAGTTATCTGTACAGTACCAGGTTGAGAAAGAGTCAACAAATTGATTACAAAGTGTAATCAAACCTTTAAAAAAAAAAATCCCAAAGGCCAGTGATTAACTAAGAGAGATCCTACACAACCTTACATTTTAGTATGATTATATCATTGCCATTGTGATGGGACATTTCTGCATCCAATGCTAAAAGATTTTCTGGATTAACTAAAGCAGAATACATAAGTTTTCATATTGCATTTGTCACCATTATCCTTTGACACATCTAAAGATAAATTTTGGATGCATAGCATACCTTGAGGCTAATTTCAGGGCTTTAAGTACTACTACTGTCTTATTCGTGAGCCAGTTCTCCCAGTCTGTGTCATTATCATTGCTGATGCTAGGGATCAAGTTTATCTCATTAAACTGATGTTCTTTCTTCTTTAGAGATAAGCCATTTTTAATGGTCATGTTATGTAATGCACAGCCAGGAAGGAAGGTCTTAGATCATGCTCTTCAAAGACAGTCCAGTTGACATTTATTGGATGTGTCTGATCTACACAACTCACTTAAAGCACATCCAATGCACATGACTTCCCCCAAAGAATCCTGGGAGCTGTAGTTTGTTATGGGCACAGTTATTTGTAGCTCTTAAAATCACCCGCAGGTAGGAGGTGATGTAACTGTCAGTGTGATGTAACAATTAGAGCAGGGGCTCCCAAATTGTGGTCCACAAGCTTCATTTAGTTGCCCCATGGTGTGCCTGTCAAAATGCAATTAAAAATCCTACAGCACGTGACAATTGATACAACGGGCGGAAGAAAATATTCAAGTGGTCTTCCAAGACCCTCAACAATTTTCAAGCGGTCCAGGGGGTGGTCAGCTTTTTGGAATGGAAAAACGCCAAACCAGGACTGGAGAGCTGCAGTTTCAATTTTCCATCTATCCATGAAGTTCACTAGATGACCCTGGGCCAGTCACCATTTCTCAGCCTGGCCTACCTCACAGTAGGATAAAATGCAAGGATAAAATAGAGAAGGGGACTGAACCATGGGCCCTGTCCTGAACTCCCTTGTGGGAGGGCTGGATAGGAATGTCTTAGATGAATTAGATCAAAACAGATCCCGGGGAAAGATGCTTTAACTCCTACTCCCATGATGCCTTCTTCAATCAAAATTGGACCTTAGGTCTGGGGAGAAGCAGAGGTACAATGGTTTTCCGCCTTTCTTCTCCAACAGGAGCAAAAATGGCTTTAGGTGGGAGGTTTTTGATCAGGGAAATAAAATCTTCACTTGTATGCTCCCCACCCCTCACTGAGCAGCTACTTTTAAGTCTTGTTTTAAAATGTCAGTCTGATCAAAGGGCTTTCACCATTGTGTATTCACTTGGCCCTTCCTTCTGAACAAACATGCACAGATTCAGGCTGCGTATCACACTTTTAGGACACCAACTGTTCTTTCAATTATCATTCTGGTCACTCCTGGAATCTCATTATAATTTATAATGATACAGATTTCAGAGGGAGTCTGGAGATAAAAGCGTGGAGAAATTAGACTTTCCCCCTTCATTTTGTTGTTTTTCAAAGGCTATCGGCGGCGGCTGAAGTCTCTTTTTTCTTCCTTTTTTTATACGACTATATCCAATGCTGGAATAAATTTCTAATATCCTGGGATGGAATGTTTAAGGGGTCATCCGTTCTCAATCTGGCTTCCCGGTGAATTGCTACTTGCAAACAAAACGAACGAAAATACACAGAAGTGTGGATGTGTTAGCAATTAGCATGCAAAATGCTTTCGACCCTGCTTTCAGTCATCTTAACAAGAAACCTGTGAGGTTAAATTCTGCTGGGGGATTGTGTGTGGAAGACTGAATTAGAGGGGATTCTCTCAAGGTCGACAAGGCAGAGAGGGATTCCACAGAGGGAAGAAGTGAACCCAGACTGCCTAGCTGTCCTCTGAAGCCTGCATGCTCTTAGATTTTCTACTGTAGTAGCCAACATGTGTGCCATCGAGATGTTGTGGGCCACAACTCCCATCAACCCCCGGTCAGTGTTACCAACAGTCAGTGATGGTGGGAACTGTAGTCCACAACACCTGGACCACATCATACTGGCGACAGAATGGGCCCCTATGGTTTATGAATATGTCTTTCCAAGCCTTTGGGAAGCCTCACAGGGACAGGCCTAATAATGCCCAGAGTGTTCAGCGCCTCTGCGAACTTAGATGCAATAGCAATGAGTGTGATTTGTCCAGTACTTGTGTCAACATACCCTCCAACACAACGAGGAAGAGGACAGAATACTTAGCTCCAGCTAAGTATTGGCAATGGTTTTCCTGGGTAAAAAGTTAAATGAGCAATCCACTTGAAATTGCTCAGTTTTCTAACTGGTACCATTTCATTAGTAGTCAAAATTGGTGAATTTACCAGCTGCCTATCAAAAGTGGTCATTTTGGACATGGAGGATGCAAGATGCAGTGGGTTGCTGAAAATGAAAGGTGTGGGGGTTGTAAGTGTCTTGTGTGTTGTTCAGGGATGTTCTGACACTTGTAGGGTATGGTATTAACCAGTTACTGTTCTGCCTTAGGCAGCAAAATATCTTGGGTGGCTTTGACTGCAAGGAGAAGCTGCATACAGGGGAAAGGCATAAATCAGATACCAGGCTGGTTTTTCTTTGTACCTTTTTTAATCCCTCTCCTAAGCATGGACAACGATGAGAGATTGGGGTCGCTACTAATCCTCAGACTCGGCAGCTCAAGAAAATCCACCTACGGCCATATGAGTGGATAGGGAAACAGCTGGCCCTATCCCCAAAGACCATGGTCACTGGTTATTTTGCCTAAATCGGATTCCTCACAATGCGGGATGACAACGACGATTTTGCAGGGTTCAAATACTCTCAGAGTGAAGGCCAACACTCTGTCCATCCAATGAGGGGATAATATTTTATTTCACTACACACACACACATGCACA